GACATGGGACATGGAGAGGGAAATGAATCTTGGGGAATGGAGCTGGGCGTGGCTGGCAAGTCCCCACCCAGCTCCTGGTATCCCCATCCCAGTCCTGGTGTCCCCACACTGCTCCTGGTGTCCCCAATCCAGTCCTGGTATCCCCACACTGCTCCTGGTGTCCCCATCCTGCTCCTGATGTCCCCAATCCAGTCCTGGTGTCCCCATCCTGCTCCTGGTGTCCCCAACCCACTCCTCCTGTCCCCACCCCAGTTCCTGGTGTCCCTGTCCCAGTCCTGGTGTCCCCAGCCTGTCCCCAGTGTCCCCACCCCAGTTCCTGGTGTCCCCATTCCCATTCCTGCTGTTCCCATCCCTACTCACAGTGTCCCCATCCCTGTCCCCAATGTCCCCATCCCTGTCCCCAGTGTCCCCACTCCCACTCCAGGCTCCCAGAGAGGAACTGCTTGACACTGGAGGAGGAGCCCAGATTTCTTGCCCCAAGCAGGATTTATTGCTCCAAGCAGGATTTCTTGCCCCAAGCAGGATAATTTCACACCAGAACTAAAGCATCAGGAATATTTGTGGGTTTTGGCTCTAAAATATTGGAAAACAGGAAATCGATCTGTTAGCAAGAGCTGTGGGGTGGGTGGCAGCAGTGGGATGAGCTCTGCTGGCAGCTCTCAGCATTCCTGGGAAGAGGGAAAGGGCTGTATCCAGCTCTGTGGATTGCTCCGGTGGTGATTCCTGCCGGGATGAGAGAGGGTCACGGTGTCACCCTGTCCCTGTCCCCATTCCACAGAATGGACCTGGCTGGAGCCCATGGGGAGCAGGAGCTGCTCCAGAATCCTACCTGACCCCACCCCAATCCTACTCTATCCGTTCTGCCCCAATCCTGCTCCGGAATCCCAACCTGATCCTGCTCCATCCATTCTGCCCCAGTTCCTCTCTGGAATCTCAACCTGATCCTGCCCCAATCCTGCCATAATCCTATTACATTCATCCCAACTGATCCAACTCCATCCATCCATCCATCCATCCATCCATCCATCCATCATCCATCATCCATCATCCATCCATCCCACTCAATCCTGCCACATCCACCCTTCCCCAATCCTTCTTGGGAATCCCAACCTGATCCTGCTCCATCCATCCCAACTAATCCCACACTGGAATCCTGCCTTAATCCAGAATCCCACCTGATCCCACCCCGTCCCTCCTGCCCCAATCCTGCTCCATCCATCCCACCTGATCCTGCTCCAGAATCCAGCACTGATCCCACTCAACAATTCCATCTGATCCTGCTCTGGATCCCTGCTCTGACCCGGTTTCCCTCCCTGATCCCAGTCCGTCCATCCTGCCCTGATCCCCCTCTGGAATCCCACCCCAATCCCGTTTCATACGTGTGATTCAGATCTTGACTTCAGTGTTCTTTCCTGCAGAAAGAGAAGATCTGTGAGATTCCAGCATGGATCACACCCTGGGATTAACCCCAGGATCCATCCTAGGATGCACAAAGAGGGGATTCAGAGCTGGATCCACCACTGGAACTCACCGGCTGGCGGGCTGTATCCATTCCCGTCCCTCCTCCCTGTGGAAAAACAGCGGGATCAGTGTGGGTGCTGCATTCCATCCCGTGTGTTACCGGATTGGAGCCTCCAGACACCGAATCCAATGAGGACAAGGACGAGGATGGCAGCTATGACGGACACAGCGATCACCACGGCGAGATTCCCGCCAGATGTCGGCTCTGGGAAACGCGGGATAGTGAGGAGGGGAAGCGGAATCCCCATTCCAGAATTCCAAAATCCCAAATTCCCAATTCCCAGCCTCACCCCAAGCGAAGATCCCGGGCTCCAGCATTCCGGGATGCTCCACCCGGCACCGGTACTGCTCCCACTCCTCTGGCAGCGCCTCGATCCTGGCCCAGGTGTGGAAGGTGCCGTCGCTGTTGGGAACGATCCCGCCCCACTCCGTCTCCTGATCCCAAATGTCACCTCCCTTCATCCAGTTGACTGTGATGGTGTTGGGATAGAATCCGTACACGTGGCAGGATAGGATCAGTGTCCCATGTTCCTCTTTTCCGGACACATGGACGTCAGGGGCCACTGGAATGGGATAATGGTGGAACTCATGCATGGAATTCTATGGGAACGGGATGGGGGTGAGATCTGCCCATGGAATTCCATGGGAATGGGATGGGGGTGAGATCTGCCCATGGAATTCCATGGGAATGGGATGGGAGCGAGATCTGACCATGGAATTCCATGGGAATGGGAATGGGTGAGAACTGCCCATGGAATTCCCACTGGAATGGGATGGTGGCGATATCTGCCCATGGAATTCCCACTGGAATTACGGTGTTCCCAAGTCCTCCATTCCCAAATCCCAAATTCCCACCCACCTTTGCGCTCCAGCTCTTTCCGCCCGTATCCGACGTATTTCCGGAGCCATTCCGGGCAGACGTGTCCCTGGTAATTCTCCCGCCTCTCAACCTCATTCTCATCTTCCCAGCGCCTCCGGGTGATCTCAGCAGCGTCGTCGGCCGCCACGAAGTTCTCGGATCCCAGCTCGAAGGAGATGAAATCCCGCCCGTCGTAGCCGTACCGCCAGGATCCACGGACGCTCCCATCGGACAGGAGGTCACAGCCGGAAACTCGCTGTATGGTGTGGAAACCTGGGGGGATTGAACCCACAGAGACCCATGGAATTGTGTCCCAGCCCCACAGATCCCATCGCAGCCCCACGGATCCCATCCCAGCCCCACAGATCCCATCCCAGCCCCACGGATCCCATCCCAGCCCCACGGATCCCATCCCAGCCCCA